GAAGTATATAAATGATTATTATATAATTATGCTATATTGTTTAATATAAATTTTTATACAGCTATTGGGCTTTCTATTGTGATTACATTGGCTTTGATAACTTTTATGAACTTCTTTGCAATGCACATGATATGAATCTTCATTTCCAAAACACACCATTAGAACAAACCACTATTGGAACAAACTTGCCAGTAATTTTAGATGTAATTGGTATCTGGTATAATAATTTCTTTGATGCACAAACACAAGTTATATTACCTTATGATCAATATCTCTATCGTTAATAAGCAATTTAGATCTTTGAAAAAAACCACATTTGATTAATAGAGTTTTCATGATTTGCATCTGGGTTTTAATTATGGGGTCTTATTTTATGGTGATACTATAAGCAGTGAGACATGATAACTTGTATAGTAGAATTTTTATATGAGATACAAAGAACATTTATTTAACTAATATATTATTTTATGTAATACTTTAATTTTATCAATTTAGCAGGTAATTGAAATATTTAAAAATTTGTGTTATTTAAGTTGAATAAAATAAGATATATTTGGAACGATTTATTTGTTAGTATAGCAAATTTATAATAATTATTATACTTGAATAAAACAAAAAAAATTCAATAAACAAAAAAAATAAAGCTTATTTAGTAAAATAATACAATTGAATTTATGTTAAAAGAAGTTAAATTTCTTGTTTATTTTTTGACATTTAATTTCAAATTTTTAAGTTTTATTAATAGACTTTAATAATGATTGAAAAATATATAAATTTAATGAATTATCACTATACATAATTTTTCTATGCATGTTCATGATAATGCGTAATCATTATGCGTGATCATCTTTATCATGAGCGATTGTTATGCGTGAACATTATGCGTAAATATTATGTGAGCCAGTCCATACTATTATGAGTATTTAGAGATTTTTGATCTACTTTGATTATTCATTGGACTATATTCTTGAGTAGATGCTCTACACTTAGCGCAAGTCTTGTTACGTAATATCATATAATAGCTTACTTTGTCCAAAATTTCAAAATTATATTTTTATCTTAAATATTGAAATTGATTGAATATTGATATTTGAATTTAAGAAACTTTGTGTAATCATCATGAGCGATTGCTATGTGCAAACGTTATATATAATTATTGTAAACGATCGTTATTCACAATTGTCATGTGTGAACGTTATGTATAAATGTTATGCGTGATCATCATGAGCGATCATTATGCGAGCGTTATTATTCCAATTGTCATTAGTTTAGTGTAGTTAAATAAATAAAAAAAAAGTTAAAAGGTTCAATTTTTGTAATTTGGTTATAACAAATAAAATTATATATCTTAAATAAATTTATCATATACTTGTTATCTTATTTCAAACAATAGCAGCTTCTTTTGCTAATACAAGCATACCAGTTCTAAATGTTCCAAACAAAGTCCAGTATAGCTTTTCTTTGAACCACCCGTTCCAAAAGATGATAAAATAAAAGCCAAATGCAAGTTTTGCACTAACAAAAAAACATACCTTACTCTAAGCAAAGGTGCTACTACTAGCCTACATGCTCATATTACTAATGTTTATAAAGTCAATATCATGAAGACAGTTAGTTCTGAGAATTTTCCGGTTGTAGCTTCTAGATCAAGTGAGAGTATTCTTAGAAAAGCATTAGTCAAGTAGATTATAGCTGATGGTCATCCTTTTATCACTGTTGAATCAGAAAGCTTTAAAGAGTTGGTTGAGGTAATTAAAAAATTAGAAATTGATGTTATACTTCTCTCTGCAAAGACAGTTAAGCAGGATTTGTTAAACCGATACTCCGAACTGAAAAATTCTATAAAAGATATTCTAATAAATAACTCAAGTAAGGTATCTCTTACAACCAACATGTAGACAAGTAATTCGTGTAAAGCTTTTTTGGGTATCACAGCATACTGGATTAATGAAAACTGGGAGGTTAAGTCACAAATTCTTGACCTTGCACCTTTTGATAGAGCACATATCGAAATAAATATAGTAAATACTTTATTTAGTATTTGTAATGATTTCGATATTATTAATAAAATTTTGGAAATAACTATTGATAATGCTTCAAGTAATTACTTAAAGCATTTGAAGTTCAGTATAGAGATAATGATGGCTTCTTTATCAAACAAGGCCATGTCCGTTGTATAGCTCATATTATTATCTTGTTTTGCAAGATTTTTTAAGCCACCTAAATTCAGAAGCACTAGATCAAGATGAAGATAAACTTCATATCTTAAACCAACCTACCACTTCCCAAACTTCAAACGTCAAAAAGCTTTGAAAGCTTATTGCCAAACTTCAGAGTTCGCCTCAGCGTTGCAAAAAATTACATGATCTATGCCAATCTCTTCAAATACAATTTAGCAATCCAATTCTTGACTCCAAGACCCGTTGGAAATTAATACTTAATATGATTAAACGGGCTATTAACATAGCACCAGCAATCGATAAGATAGTTGATAAAATTCAAGAGCTAAACGAATTCAGTTAGTTTTTTAATATAATCGATTTAATAATTTTGACCTAGCTATTAATCGATTAGCCAACTAATCGATTAATAGTTGGGTTAAAATTATTGATTGTCAACTCAGTCAACTAATCAATTAATCAATTTTTGATTCATATTACTAAATTAGGTTTTTTATCAAGAGAATAGAGTATGTTTGAAAAAATAACTTTGCCTTTAAAAACTTTTCACGACGTTTCTAAAGATTTGCACAGTGAATCATATGTATTATTGATTTAGAATACAAAAGAGTAGAGTGGTTATGAAGAATTGTGCCTGTCAACTCTCCATGTTGAAGAAAAACATATTGTAGAATATGTGTTTATGAAGGTGATTTAGTCTCAACTAGTATTGGCACAGGACAGCTTTGGACAAATTTTGAATAAAAAAACAAATCTAAATTATTCAAAATTTTATTAAAATAACCTATTTTAATCTTCTAAGCAAAAATATTCAGAACTATAAAAAATATATAATTATATCTTTTTTAAACCAATTTATTAAATTTTTAAGTCTAAATATTCTTTGAACACTGTAGATGTTTGGACGTGGACATGGTTTTGGACATAGTAGATATGACAACACTGGTCTCAACTGCAACAGACCTCCAAATGATATGACTTATAGAAGAAAAGTTGTATGAAATGTACTTATGAAAGTTGACTATAGAATGAAGATGTGGCTATATAAATAATAACTAGATTTCACATAAGTTAGCCATACAAATTTAATTTTTTGGTTTTCATAACATGAAACTTAATATAGAAATGAAATTACGCAAAGAATAAAGGTGCATATATATATTATCAGCATAGTGTGTTTTTTCATATATTTTTTTTAAAAGGTTCTGATGATAATAAATGCTGTAGCATCTCAATTTCATAAAGTGAAGTTAAAGTGAAAGGAAAATATTGTAGTCCGAAAGTAAAGCGTGATCAGATAATAAATCACATAGAGATTTGAATATTTTGTGAATAGTTTATTGGAGCTGTTGGTCTTTACCAAGGTACAATTTTAACTGTACAACTGCTTTCAAATCATTTTAATTGTCTTTTTAGGCTAGTACTGAACAAGCTATCAAGAGAAAAACGTATCGAAGACACAATACTGCAATCTATCCTGTTTTTATATTCATTTAGCTTACCAAAGCAAATCCTTATTCACTCGTTCAAACTATTTGGAACAGCCCAAACAATATGATAATTAGCACCACATAGTTTTGACTATAAGAAATTAAGTAATTAAAACCAATATGATGCTAATTATCACATGGTTTGGGCATTTCAAATGGTTTGTATGGCATAATATCTGTGCTAAAAGCTTTCAATATTTTTTATCAACGTTATCGCAATAATCTACTATTTTGGTCAAATATAGTTTTTGATTCTGGATAAAGATCTACCTTTTTTTTAACGTTCTGAAATCTTATAAATGCACATAAACATATTCAATTAGTAACAGTAAGATTATTCTATGTTTATAACCACAATGTTGGCTGTTTTTCTGGTAAGTTTAATCGTTAGAATTCCAAATTCTTTTTCTGTTAATAATTGACTTACAAAACTTTTTACATAGAGCTCAGTAGCTTTAGATGGTGCACTTATAAAAATCAAGGTATTTTGTTGATATCGATCAGACTAGAAGTCAAAATATTGAGAATTTTTTGCTTTGCCTTGTTTTGGCATTTCTAATGAGGTGTAAGTTTATATTTATTATCTATTTAAATAGAATTTTATGGGTTTCAAATCATGACAAAATTCTAAATGAACTCGCTTGATTTTCACTTAGGTTTCTTAAGCACTTTAGTTAATTGTGAATAGGTCTGATAGTAAATTTTAATTATCATAGTAAAAAATACTTTAATGAATTAATAGTGTTTATTATTCTAATGAATAAAATACATTATAATATATCAAAGAGAAAATTTTAATTAGTAGAAGATTTTTTAACTGATCAAGAGTATCATTCTAATTAACAAGAAGTGGAGGCCCAGATATCTCTTTTTTTTGTGCTTATTAGCTGAAATTTTAATTAATTGATTAAAAAAATAATTGTTTAAGCACTTTTCTTTATATTACTATTATAGATCTTAAAATCGTTACCAGAGTCAATGAATTATTATCTAATTGCCTATGTTAAATAGAGATTGTACACGTGAGAAAAATTTTTACCAAGTATTATTAAATTACCCAAGTTATTCGGGTTACTATAACTATATAGGGTCTTTGCCTTGAAAATCAAGTTATGGGACATAGTAAATCATATATCCCATATTTGATTTTCAAGACAAAGACCCCATATAATAGCAAATTTTTCCCAAGTACAATCTTTAATGTTAAAAACCTTTGGTGATTGTTTGCACAGAAAAAGTTAAGTTAAATATTTTTGTTGTGAAAGGTTTCTATTTGACTAGAGATTGTACCTTGGTAAACATTTTATTATATAGCTATAATAAATTACCCAAATAACTAGGTAATTTAATAATGCCTAAGTAGAGATCGAAATAACTATGCATAACATTTTGCTCATGATAATCACACAAATAGTCGCTTACAATGATTAGCAATCACATATAGCGATAATTCATTAAATTTATATATTTTTCAATTATTATCAAAGTCCACTAATAAGACTTAAAAATTCGAAATTAAATGTTAAAAAATAAACAAGAAATCTAACTTCTTTTAACATAAGTTCAATTATATTATTTTACCAAATAAGCTCTATTTTTTTCATTTATTGAATTTTTTTTTTTATTCAAGTATAATAATTATTATGAATTTGCTATACTAACAAATAAATTATTCCAAATATATTTTATTTTATTCAACTAAAATAACACAAATTTTTAAATACTTCAATTATCTGCTAAATTGATGAAATTAAAGTATTTACCTGAAGGCTTGGGATAATGACAGTCAGACCCAATGTACAGGGCAGACTACAAGCTCTTTAGAAACCATGAGAACCGGGTATACGGCGAGCGACCATGTAAAAGATACTAACCTGACAAGTTTGTGACCAACATCTTTAGAATCCTGCAACTTGTCAACATACTATAACAAATTTTCACAATTTCATAAACCACCAATAATAACAACTGAAACTACTAAAATGGCAAGCAACCTTTCAGAAGAACTTCCATCCAAGTCATCATCAACATCATTAGACTCCTATGACTTGAAAATATGCTATAACAAATTTCTTGCCTATTACAAACTTCTTCTACTAAGAGAACTACAAACTATTAACTCCTTTAAACAATATCTTACACAAAATGATGCTAAGCATCTCACATGTTATCAACTGATTACTGTCAATAGTGACAAAACAGAAGCACATGTATATTTATCTCATGAATCTGAAATACTCCCTAATCACTATGTTCTATCTATATATGACTCTTATAATATTCCTCTAAAATCACAAACAAACACACCTATTTTTCC